TAATGTGGGGTTTAATAGGGAAAAATCAATTCGTTTTTTTTTTTTTTTTTTAAAAATCTATTCTTCGTTTAACATCACAATTCGTGATACGGTTATCCATAGCTTTTTATATTAATTAATTATTATTACCTTGTCGTATCTGTTGTTGGAGAGGAACACGAAGTAGTTAATACTCATAATACCCGTCATCTCTTGACAGCAGACAAGCCATTCAGAAGATCAATAGGGAAATCCATTACAGGTAACAGTGGACATCGATCAAACGCGAGCGTGTTAGTTAGATTAATCTTCGAGAAATTAATTAAGATTCGAAAGGAATTTAATTCAGTTTCGATAAGTCGCATCGTATATTATTTTTTTTTTTTTTTTTCGTTACGCGTTTACAATCACTCGCGATGTTTCCCTTTAATTTTATCCGCGACAAGTTGTAAGATATAAGACGGTTTCTAATAATCGAACAATATGAGATATTTCCTTCCGTTGAAACGTGCGAATTTCCGCGGTTAATTTTAATTAAGAATTCACAGTGAATGAGTTTATGGAATAAGTTGCGAAACAAGGAAGAAACTAGAAATTGTGCGGGGTTTTAAGATTTTAATAAATCTTTATTTAATTCCCTTATACATCTTTTCCAATGTGGGTCGAGATTAAATTTCGATCTCTCCGCGTAAACACTGTGAATTGAATTTCATAAATTTAAAATATATGTATTTAATCACAACGAAAACGATTCCTTTTAATTTTTCTTAATTTAAATTTTTCCATTTTATATTTCGAACGATTTATTAATTTATTGGTTTCGAGTGTAATTGTCTTTGAAATGAATTTCGATTAATTTTTATAGCAATTTAAGAAATTTTATTTTTTCCCAAATAGATCGATTTAAATCGCGAGCTGCAATAAAATACAATATGCGATAGGTGTATTGTATTCCGTTTAATTATATACAATTAGATCCATTGTGTTTGATTAATAGATATTTATTTAATATTTGATGATATAACGCGTGTATACGTGTACGCGTGTATTACACACTTACGACCGGTTATTTCCTGCTTTGTTGAAACGTGAAAATTCAATTCGATGTAACGTTACAAAATACACAGCAATACCACCGATTCGTAACTAAATTACGTACGTACGATTCGTTTATTCGAATCGATCGTTACGCGTCTATCTATCTGAAACAATCAACGATACTTGTCTTCTACAAGGTTTTATTCAAGTACGAGTTTGTTAAATGTCGCGGACGACAAATATCACGGATATCCTCGCGTAAAGATATCGCATTACGAGATGCTTTCGACTTTTTTCTCTATTCGATATATATATATACGATGAAACGGAAACTTTGGTCTACGCGCTCGTCTCCTTTTTCCACGTCCACAGAGATTTCCTATCCCCGAACGAAATATTTTCTCTTTGAAGAAACAAGATAAGAGACCTACTTTCGAGGAATATCAGCCCCGAAGAAGAAGTTTATTTCGAATCGAATGGAACGTTCCATTTCAATTTATTAATTCCTCGAACAATAGTTGCATTAACTATCTTTGAACTCGAGGAAGTTTTTTACCAATGAATTTCCATCGAGGAAATTGAGAATTGTGTTTTTCTCTTCCTAATTATTGTTGAAAAATAATAATATTTCTGAAACTTTTGGAAATTGACACTCTTTGCATCTGATATTTTTCTGCTTTAAAAACGTTTTCGCGTAAAAATTATCATACGATAGGGATGCAAATCGAAGCAAAGGTACACCACACGTTCAAAACGTTTGCCAGAGAGCTGTGTCGAGGTAAGGTCAATAAATTACCGAGGATAACAAAATTTCACATACGAGAAATCATATCTTTCGTGGGCGCAACTATCATTTTCCACCTTCCTCTGGAACAATATTTTTTTTATTTACAAAGTAAATAACGACTTATCAAATTCTTTTCCAGCGACAAAAATTTATAATATCCACGGCAACGCGTGTGTGCTCTCCCGTTTCCAACCTCCTAAATATTTCCATATTTCATTTCGAAAAAATTCTTCCAAACAAAATATCCAACTTTGCAACGTTATCCTGAATCGAGAAGTTCGTAGAATGATTCGTATCTCGAGAAAAAACAGGAACTGAATGATTAAAAGAAACGTGTACGAGGAGAATTGAATCAAATTAACCGAGAAGAATATTTTCGAGCGAAAATCGAAATAAACGAAATATATAACTTTGTCGATATTTAAAAAAAAAATTCCACGAATTTTCGGTAATCCTCGATTTATCCATCGATTCTCCAAGTTTTCAAAAAAGTTTTCAAAAAATCGACGCAAAGAAAAAGCGCGCGTTAAAGAAGATCCGCTCGCGAGGCGGGGAAAATTACCACCATTTTCGCCCTCCCTTTCTCCCTTGTTAAACAGACCCACGAAATAATAAAACCGGCAAAAAAACTGGAATAGAACGCAAACACGAGGTCCCAGCCACTGGAGAAATAATTAACGCCACACCTATGCAATCTCTGTGGAACACACGTCCTCCCTCCCTCCTTCGGCTCCTCCTCGTTTCCTCCTCGCCCCGTGCACGGTTATCGCACGGTTCCGCGCGCATCCGTCCGAATTTCTGCGAATCCCAGACTCGGTTGGCAAACCTGGCCGTTATTAATAACCGAGAGACGAGGCTGTTCCCCCATTTTCATTAGGTTCGCGCAAACTTACTCTTGGTGGGAATTACGTTAATCTCCAAGATGGGGAGGTTACAGCGGTTCGAACAATGAGGGTTAATTATTTTTTCCCCCCGGTTTCGAGCTCGTTACCAGAGCTTTGCTAATATTGTTTCATTGTATAAAAATATGAAAATACAAAGGAAGTTAACGTCGAGTTTAATTAGAATAAAAAAGGAAATACGCGTAATATTTGTAAGCAATTAACTTAGAGGGCGATGCATCGAATTTGACGAACGCACGATAAATTGAGAATTGGAAATGACGTTAGAAAATATGCGTATCTCCTTTGATTTTCGACAATTCGAAGCGAAAATTCAGATCAGATATTTTAATTTTTTAGCGTAGTTTAGATACCGACGTTCAATTTCTTTTATAGTATCAAGTATTATTTAAATTGAAAAACGATTTTCCTTGTAAAAATTAGGGATCCCGAATGTTTTAATATATAATTGCTAGTTCAATTTTAAGTTAAATTCTATTTCCACTAAATGTATACACATATGTAAAACGTACAATTCAGATAATATTCGAATAATTTTTATCGAATATTATAAAGGTAAAACTGCTTTACTCTCGATAAAACGATACTCAATTTTCTTCTAAATACACGTTTACTTTAATCGATGCGATTTTATCGAGAACGCAGCAGCCAAGTTGGCACAACTTGTTAGCATAACGACGTTCCCCGCAATATCGTGTACACTGTGTTGAACTCGTAATACGTCTCGTCTCGTCTCGTCTCGTCTCGTCAAAATGGTTTCGCTGGTATTTCTCAACTGCTCTCGCGGCAACTTGGCACGAGAGCGCTTCGCTAATTGTGACGCGGTGTTAACGAATTAATAGATGCTTTATCGCTTATCGTATTTTCCATAAATGCGATGATACACGTTTTCCTTCCGCGTTATTGAACCCGCGCCATTAACGCATTCGTTTAAAAGTGCAACGATTGGATCGAACGATCATCAATTTTTCAAGTCGTCGTGATCATTTTTCGAAAGAGAGAAAAAAAAGGGAAGGGAGAGGATATAACTTCGAAAGGTTCGCGTCGACAGACAAGAGGAAAGGAGTGAAAAATAAAACGTTGGAGTTTCGTTCGATCGTTATCTTTCTTTTTTTTCTTTCTTTCTTTTTTTATTTTTTTTTTTCTACCTTTAACCGATTCGTCGCCATCGTGTATTCTGTATAATGCTTCAATCAACTGTCCCGGTTTTTATCGCTGGATTCATTTTTTCCCCCTTTTTTCAGAACAGAACAGACTGAATATCTTCTATTTTATATCCCCCACGACGAGCACGAATGTCAAACGAAAAACGAATGTAACACGAAAATTGCAAAGAATTTGATACCTTTGTCCGTTGAAATATCACATCTCACACCCTTCCACACCATATCACGCGATATAATAATAATAAATTTCTAAAGGGATAATATTCGATTTAAGTTATTTTTCTCCTCGATAAATCCTTCCCTCTCCCCGATCACTTTGTTTCGGAGGGAGAGGGGAGGGAATAAACGGCGGAAAACTTTTCTAATTAAAAACGGAACTGCTCCGCGAAAAGTTTGAACCGAAGTATATCCGACTTTGCAACAACGAAAGATGGTCCAGATAAGGAAAAAAGAAAGAAAAGAAAAGGAAAAACGATAGGAGCTGTGAATAGAAATCTCAAATTTTTTTTTTCGAGATCGAGAACGATCACAATGGGCCACGTTTGACAAATCTCCACGACTTTTTCTCCCGTTAAATATGTATAAAAAAAGAAAAATTATCGGAAACTTGGTTATTATTCGACGTCATAAATCAGCTCGATATTCGCGCAACTTTTTTTTTTTACGAGTTTTTTAAACTTGGAAAATGGTAAACGTAAAACAAAACGTGTCAAAAAGTAAGAAAGAATTTAACACCCGAAGAAAAATTTATATATTTTCTTTTCCTCCCCTCCCCTTTTCTCGCTCGATATCTTTTCCAAAAATTCGAATTAGAAGAAAAGAAGAAGAAAAGAGGAAGAAAATTGATCGCGAATCAGGAACCGGGAGGAAGAGATTTTACCGTAAGACCGTAATTTAATGCGCGGTACGAACAAGATCATCGACTTAGGGAGTCTGTTTACGAGGGATTAAGAGAAAGCGTTGCTTAACGACGAACAATCCTCGACAAACACGGCG